ATATTTGTTTTACTCTTTCTGCTTTCACTCTAAATAAGAGGCTCTAGTTTCATCCACCTCATTAGAATTGACTCAAATTCATTCCTTTTTATGGCTAAGTAAAGGAATTCTTTTAACTTGTCTTTGTTGAGCTTGTATCCAAAAACCTTACACAACTCTTATTTGTTCTGAAATAAATAATTTTTAACTAGATCAGTGGTTCTGAGATTTTATCTTCACATGCAATGTTTTCCGGTTCTTTCAGCAACCGAACCTAAAACACAATTTGATCAATGCACAATCGTTCTGAATAAATGCTGTACATTTTTTATTGAAGTATAATTGATGTACAATACTATATAAATTTCAGGTGTACAACTTAGTAATTCAGTTTTTTAAAGGCTCTATTCCATTTATTGTTATAAAATTGGCTATATTCTCTGTATTGTACAATAGACATATTGTATAATATATTATAACTTATTTATTTTATACATAGTAGCTTATACTCTGTATATTTTTTTAAAACAAAAAGCAGTATTTTGTGTTTTAAATAATGCCATAACTAATTCAGTTGCACAGTTAGTGCATGTTTGAGCCAAAGTTAAAATACAGGTTAGATTAATTTAGAGTAAGCATTAATGATTTGTTCAAATTCTTCTGGAATTCCAAAATTGTACCACATATAATTCATTCACTGAACCGTCATTCAACCAGTTCTGTGATAGATTCATTCTAGGTATTGGGGATAGAGTCATGAATGAGATAGTCAAGATCACTGCCTATACGGAGCTTTTACTCTAATGAGGGAGCCAAACACTAAACAAGCATTCACCAAAAAAAAAAAAAAAAAATTGCTTATTTTTTAATTATGATGCTACATTAGTAAAGTTGGTTAGTCACTAAGTCACATCTGACTCTTTTGCAACCCCATGGGTCGTAGCCCACCACACCCCTCTGTCTGTGGAATTTCCCAGGCAAGAATAATGGAGTGGGTTGCCGTTTCCTTCTCCAGGGGATCTTCCTGACCCAGGGATCGAACCTGCGTCTCCTGCATTGGCAGGCACTTGCAGGTGGATTCTTTACCACTGAGCCACCATAGAAGCCCCCCATTATGAAAGTACAAGACACTATGAGAGAAGATCATGAAAGGAGTTCACTTGGATTTGGGATTTTAGAAGTTCTCTTTGAGGAAGTGATGTTGAAGCTAGTTAACAGTCGGACAGAAAGGAAACAGCCAGGCAGAAGTGGAAGGAAGAGAACACTGAAGCAGAGGAAACCATGTCTGAAAGGGGCAGGCGAATTCAGGGCACTGAAGCTGTCACTGCAGATGGAGGGAAGAAAACAATAGACAGAGAAGAGCTAAACAGGGTTGTGGAGTTGGGCAAGAGTTATCATGCAAGACCTGGGAGGCCTTTCATCCTAAGTACGACCATTAACTCTCTGACGAGACCTAGCATGAAAAAAATCATTCCAACTACTGGGTAGGGAGAAGACTGGAAGGGCTAATAGACGAAGAGAGAAGTGCCGCACGAGTCTGTTGTGAGAGATGGTGGTGACTGAGGCTAGGAGGCAAGAGTGAGATGAAAATTTGTCATCTATTTTGGAGGTAGATTCAGCAGGACTTGGTGACGATGCATTGGCTCGGGGTTAGGCGAGTGTTTGCATGAGAAAGTAGCAACATGACTCGGATTCCTGACATGAGTAGAGGGGGTGTTCTTTACTAGAGTGGGGAAGATTAGAGATGAAGCAGATTTGGGAGGAAAGATCAAGAGTTCAGATCCACATGTGTCAAGTGTGAGATGCCTGTGGGACTTCCAAAGAGAGATTACTGGGTACACAGTTTAAATATGTGGATCTGGAGGGCTGAAGTTAGAAACATGAAAGTCCCTCAGAGCCGAGGGACTCTCATTTAGAGTAGAGAGAATGACATGTGGGTGGGGGGAGGACCTGGAACTCTCTACAGAGAGCTTGCACTTGCACCTGAACAAATGCCTCCAAGTGGCAGAATACAAAGAAAATAAAAGGAACTAGAAATAAGTACACGCATGCACAGTTGGGGCAAATGATGAACAATAAGATACAAAGAAAGGCCACAAACCAACTGCCACTTCCAAGGTGCTGGGAATAAAAGCAGGGTACTACTATGCATGATCCCTGCAATAGCACCACCAACGGGGTGGGCAGACCACCTAAGCCAGCCCTCTGGTCTGACCCAGATGCACCAACTCACCCCTGCCTTCACCCCACTTAAGGAACCAGCCCACCCTCCTCAGGGAGCAAGCAAAGGAACCCGTTATTTGTTCTCACTCCCTCATGCAGCAGCACGAATCCCAGTAAAGTTTGCCTGAATTTCTCACCTTGCCTCTTATCCGTTTCTATTGATTTCAGAGTCCAAGGACTCCAACTGGTAACAAGAAGAAAAGGGAGTCTAGGACAGAAGGGAATGACAAGCAAGGAGATGGATAAAGGTGGAGTTGGCAAAGACACATCAGCTGAAAAATGGAGACAGGTATGATGGAAAGAATTAACATTTTAAAAAGCGAGAATTCCTTGGAAGAGTAGTCAGTACAATCAAATACTAAGAAGAGGTTGAGTAAGATGAGGATTCAAAATACCCACTGGGTTCAGCAACGTAGGGTTTGCTGCTCTTAGTAGGAGCAATGGGCTGGACATATGTTAGAGCCAAAACAGAGGGCTGCTGCCTGGAGTTGGGAGAGCTTCCTAACAAGGGCCTTTATCACACCACAAGTTAGCCTGTACACCACTCTCTTGCAGCTCATGAACATTCCATGGAGTGACCCAGCCAAGAAGTAATACCTCTGAACTCCCATCCAAACTGCTAGGAAAAGTGTCAGGAAGATAACCCTCACTGAGATTTTTTTTTTTTATTTCTACATACACATCTGCTGTGCAAATCTCTGCAAACCAATGAAATGCACACACATGCATATAAGTGCAATGAGAGGTATAATCTCACAAGGAACTTGAGAAAGCTGTTGTAATCATCCCATCTGCTGATCAGAGTCTCAAAGGTCAAGACTACATTGGAGTCTTTCCATTGTTGTAAAAGTTAATGAAAGTTAATTATTAAAGCTGACAGAAAGGTGATTTCCCCACTGCCTTACATAACCTATATATAGTCATCAATATACATATGGATGCATGCAGAACCTATAAAACTAAGTGGATGGACACTGCCTCTTAGAACTGGGCTATATTCCACCATCGCTGAAGGGCCTCAATGACTATGTATCAGGTAGGAAATACATTTATGATTATTTTACTCAAATTGGTTTTCTATTTCTTGCAAATGGTATATTTTCTGACTGAAACATATTCAAAAGTTAGGGTGGCATTCTTGAGTTAGTTTCATGATCAGGAATATTTTAAATCATACCTAACTATAGGCTTATGGATAAGGAAGTGGCAACACACTCCAGTATTCTTGCTTTAAAAATTACATGGACAGAGGAGACTAGCGGGTTGCAGTCCATGGGGTTACATGACTGAGTATGCATGTATGAGGAGGGTGGAGGTAGATGGGTTGGTAGCAGTAAACTGGTAGAACTAAAAAAAAAAAAAATTATACCTAACAATAGGCTTAAAAATGTTAGCCTGGAGCCATAGCAATGTGATGTAAATATTTGAGTAGATTTTGATATGACATTTGAGTAAACACTTGTATGCATTTTTAGGACTTAAAATAGCCCTTTCAATGATAGCAGGGTTTTTGTATTCGTTATTCCCATATTCCTTTTGTTCTACACCCTAATCTGATTTTATTAGTAGACCATCTGTTCTGCAGTTTAGCAAATAAAGCAAGCTTTTAGGAACGATTTTTCCAGGAGATAGGATGATCTATTAGAAGGTGTTCAGAGAAGTCTTTTGGTCCAGAAGTGAGGGTTTTAAGTGCCAAACTCCCCAGAAATTCCAAGAAGGGAAAACGGGAGTTGAGCTGCTGCTGCTGCTAAGTCGCTTCAGTCGTGTCTGACTCTGTGCGACCCCATAGACGGCAGCCCACCAGGCTCCCCTGTCCCTAGGATTCTCCAGGCAAGAACACTGGAGTGGGTTGCCATTTCCTTCTCCAATGCATGCATGCATGCTAAGTCACTTCAGTCATGTCCGACTCTATGCGACCCTATGGACAGCCGCCCACCAGGCTCCTCTGTCCACAGGATCCTCTGGGCAAGAATACTGGAGTGGGTTGCCATTTCCTTCTCCAATGGGAGTGGGGGGCGGTGGTGCAAAATGGGAATAGAAACAAGTAGGACAGATAGTAAAAAGGAAGAGAGAGGGAAAAAAATTGCCACTGGAAAGCAGCATAGTGTCATATGCCACGATTAATACTATACTGTGCAGCAGTATTTTTCCTATGGATTACCAGCCCTAACAAAAAATTCACTTCATTCTTTAAAATGTCAGAAGATTACACAATATTCTCCTAAATGTGAGCATGAGAAACAACTTGTTAAATTTCTGGGTTAAATAATTTTCTTTTCCAAAGAAAATTTGTCATTCAGAAAAGCAGTGTAATGAAAGTTGGCCACTTAAATATCATTTTTACTGAGAAATGAGGAAGCAACTATTCTATTTCAGACAAAATTCGTTTTACATTGGGTTAGTTTTACAGTGGGTTAACACATATCTTGCCTCCTCCATCTTGATAAATGAATGAGTAAGTATATAAATAAATGAACAAATGTCTCAATGTCTACTAAACAGCTTATATTTGACTAAGGAACAAAATTCACAAAATCAGAATGGATGTTTTTAAATTCTTAAATAAATGAGTAATAACCTGGTTCAGCTTCTCTCCATGACGGAGGTCCTTGGTTCTCCAAAAAAGAAGAAAAGAGCCTCCCTCCAACCTCTGTTTCGCTTTATTGGGGAGCGAAGGGGAGAATAATCAGGTTCACTTCAATGAGATTGAACTCCAGGCTACCCAGGCTCACATTTTGTGTATGTGATATTGAGAGCGGGAGCGTGGCAGAGGGGCTCTTCTGGACAAGGACAGGAGCACTGTATGTGTCTCATCTGGAACTCTGTCCTCTTGTCTCTCAGTGATTCAGGGCTCATGGACACTCCTACATCAAAGGCAGAGAAGAGCATAAGACCTGGCTTCTTGTCCGAGCCCTGTCACTTGCTTAGCTATGAAACTTGGGAAGTCTTCTATCTTCTCTGATCTCAATTTCTTGATCTGTAAGTTAACGATAATAATTTCTACCTCCTCTGCTCAAGGGAGAAAAGTGAAAGTGCTTAGAAAAATGCAAAGCCTTTTGAGAAAGTCAAGGGATTCTCTTTAATTTTGTCAGCTTCATGGGTCTGAGATGCCTTCTTAACAACTTAACATTTTTCCTAATAGTTCATCCTTTTAGCCTACAAAATCCTCTGTTTCTGTATTTGTCTCACTGGTCTTTGAACATGATGTCTTAATTCTCCATTGCTTCCTTATCTCTTTTAAACTTATCTGTTCTTTAAGGTCTAACACAATTCCTAGATGAAATCTTTCTCAATGCCAGTGCACACTCACATCCCTTCTTCTTACAATTTGTTATCTGTATCACTCATATTGGGCACTCCTTCTATGCAAGTAAACTTTGGAATTTAGAACTACATCATTTCTATATCTTTTGTTTATAGTTCAATTTATCTCAAAAAATCTTCCTGAGTAATGACTGCTTTACAGGTGCTCTGCAAAAGGGAAAGATATGATTAAGTCTGGGCTTTGTCCTTGAGGAACTGAGTCTTACTGGCAAGAGAAACTTACAAACAAATAATGATGACACAGTATACTATGGGAGAGAAAAACATACCAGGTGTGTACAGAAGGAAATGATTAACTCTTTTTAGAGGATTCCATGAAGGCTTTACAGCATCATCTTATCTTATACAGTTATGTTAGGAAGTTTTCCTAACAAACAATAGAATAATAAATGCTTGTTGAAGGAACAAATCATTGGTCATTGACAGCCAAGTATTTTAAAGGATGAATTGGAATTTACCAGGTGTTGAAGGAGAAAAACACAGGTAAAGGAAATGGAAAGGAATGGGGGGGAAGTGATGTTAAATATCATTTGTTTGTTAAGAAACTGCTGTAATTATGAAGGAGTGAAGAAGCTTGTGAGATAGGCCAGAACCAAAATACACAGGGCCTTGTATACCATGCTAGGAAGCTTAGATAGTTAGACACTTTAACATTACATTGAAATAAATGGATGAGAATGGAAAACTGCCAATTCTGGAGAAGTTCAGAATAAATATGAAGTCCTAGAAAAGGTGGTAGCACTAATGTTTTCAGACAGGTTCCAGCTGACTGTGTCATGTAGAGTCTACTGGTCAATATTAAACTCAGTCCTGAAACTATTACCACTTAAAGCTAAGAAGGCTCTCCTTAAACACCTTAATTTCAGTCTTTACAATGGCCCTTTGTTATTGTTGTNTGTCCGACTCTGTGCAACCCCATGGATTGTAGCCCACCACGCTCCTCTGTCTATGGCATTTCCCAGGCGAGAATACTGGAGTGGGTTGCCATTTCCTTCTCTAGGGAATCTTCCCCACCCAGGGATCGAATCTGCATCTCCCACCTTGGCAGGCTGATTCTTTACCACTGAGCTGTCTGGAAAGCCCTTACAATGTCTTACAATGCCCCTACAAGGAAGGTAATGACATCCCCTTTCACCATGAGAAAAACTGAAGATTGAAGCGTTTGCCCAGAGCAACTCAAACTATGGCCAAGTAATGATGTGAAGGCAGGTCTACTTAGCTGCCAAATTCTCACTCCTTTCTGCTGCACCTCCTGACTGAATTAGGCTTGACTTAGTTTCTCAGCAATAAGACTGATAATAATGATTGCCAGTAATCATTATTGGCAATAATAATAATGATTTGTCAATAATAATAATGTTTAGTGCCTGAACTAAGTTTCTAGAAGGTGTTGTAAGACCACTGTAAAGCAGTAACATAAGCGAACTACTTGACTAATACAGGATGCTCTTACATTCTTGCCCGCTGAACTACAGTTGTGTGCATCATCCATATTATTTTAGCAGAAAAGACATCCAAAATATTTTTCTATAGCCATTTGCTTTGGGACTCTTTAGAGATACTGCCCCACACCCTCTGGATCCTCATTCCAGTCCCATTGCCTTTTTTTTTTTTTAAATAATATTTATTATTTTTGTTTGTGCTAGGTCCTCACTGCTGTGTGTAGGCTCTAGTTGAGGTGAATGGGGAGCTATTCTCTAGTTGGGATGCAAGGGCTTCTCATTGCAGTGGCTTCTTTTTGTTGCGCAGCACAGGCTCTGGGACGTGCAGTCTTTAGTAGCTGTGGCTTAGGATCAGTAGTTGCAGATGTTCCAGGTTGCAGGCTCATTAGTTCTGGCGCACTGGCTCCTCTTTGGCTGTGGATTGGGGTCCCTCTGAAAGTGTTCACTGGACCCATATTCTGCTTGTTCTCCCACCTCTCACCCAGGTGTAGCTAGCAAGACATGGCTGTATTTCCCATTGTCCAACGACCAATTCATGAAATAAGGCTGGCTTACCTCTGGTTTTCCGCTGACTGGCACAGCGGTATTTTGAGATCTGGCTCAGGGTGGAGTCAATGACAGTCAACTTTGTGCAAGGGTGGTGGAGGTATCTACCGTGACTGGGGAGAGGCCAGGAAATATTCAGCACACCTGCTTGCCTCCTGGATTCAAATGACCACCAATTAAAGAAAAATACTAGCATGACTTATGCGCATCTTGGTTCAAATTAGTTTCCCACAGGAAGGGCAGATGCTGAAAGAATAGAACACCGAATGGATAAATGTATAAATGCTGAGATATGCAAAGCTTAGGGCTATGGACACTTTTCAGAGGAGCGGGGCAGGCAGCATGGAGGTGTCCAGGTAGCTGGAAGCCCAGTGGTGACACTTCATTTTGCATAGCCCGTTGTGGATGGGTGGAGTTTAGGGGGGGTGGAGGGGAATTCCTATAAACACCAGTGTTATTAATAAATCAAAATAGTTAAACTGGAAAAAACTGAACTCTATAAAATAACCCCAGGACTAAATTTGTGCTTGGGGTGGGGGATTGGTGGTGTGGAACGCTGAGAAAGACAAACTTGTATGCCTAAGTCACAGGCCCAAAGAATGTAGATATATGTATATATGTGTATGTGTGTCTGTGTATGTAATCGGTATGAAATAAAAGCCAAAAAATTAAAAAGAACACATTATAGGGAAGGAGGTAAGAGTGGAAATGTATACAAATGAGACTTAAAGTTCAAAAATCATTAGGAGGAAAAGTGCCTGAGAATGAATTTCAATCCCCCAAAACCACTGACACCTTAACGAACCCGGAGAAAAATCTGAGGCATGAAGATAAAACAGAACATGGAAAGGTTGTACATTAATATGGGTGTCATATTTGAAACTGGAATTGTGACTCTAGGCACCAATCAAAAAAGTTTTCCAGGAATTTCTGAGGTAAAAGGCAACATGTTCAGGTTGTTTTGTTTTTAAATTAAGAAAAATCACTTTTGAATTCCTAACTAAATTAGGTCATTCTCAGGAATCCCAGAAATGATGGACTGAGGAATGACGTTAATTTATGAGTGTCAGGAGCTTTTTTCAGCAGAGGCACCACAGGGGTGGATGATTCAGCGGCTCAGATGGTCGGTTACACGTGGACTAAGACAGCTGCTTCCGGGAGCAGCAATGGCCGCCTAGGGAAGAACCACAAGATCGGAATTGTGGCCCTCAAGCTCTCTCACCCTAAATTCTGTAAAGATTTCTTAAGCAACCCTGACTCTTGCCCTCAAGCACTCCCTTTGTAGTCTGAGCCTTTGACCTACAAAAGAGCCAGACATGGTCCTCCTTAGGTAGGGAAGGAAGCTTCATGGAGATGGAGATGTAATCATATCTGCCATCCTTGTCACTGGCAAAAAAAGATTAGACCATGACGTAGCAGAAAGAAAACATACATCAAAAGGAAGGAGGGAAAAAAAAAAAACCGACTAAAGGAAAGAACTAACGTGTTTCCGTCAACAACCTGGTGAAAATATGAGTAAAGCAGCAAAATGGTGGCTTTTTGTTGTTGTTGTTGTCCATGGCAGCATCTGCCATAAATAGAATGCACAGTACTTGAGTCATCTTCATTCTAAAGTTGGCTAGACTGGGGACATTCCTGGCAACCCAGTGGTTAAGACTTGGGGCTTCCCGCATAGCGGGTGTTGGTTCAATCCCTGGTTGGGGAGCAAAGATCCCAAATGCCTCGTGGGGCAGCCAAAAAGAAAAGAGAGAGAAAATTTATTTATGGGACTTCCTTCCTTGCTGCAGTCCACAGGGTCGCAAAGAGTCATACACGACTGACTGACTGAACTGAACAGAACTTGGTGGTCCAGTGGTTAAGACTTTGACTTCCAATGCCGGGGCGCGGGTTTAATCCCTGGTCAGGAAACTAAGAGCTCACATGCCTTGCAGCCAAAAAATTCAAAACATAAAACAGAAGGAATACTGTAACAAATTCAATAAAGATTTTTAAAATGGTCCGCATAAAGAAAGAATAGCGAAGCGGGTCTCACAGTCATAACAAAATTCACAGGGACTCAAATGCTAGAGGTCAAGCCAGAACTTGGGGCAGAAATGATAAGAAAATAACTTAAATGGGCAATATGCCTTGAATTTCACAGATTAAAAGCATTTTAAATGATATTACAAAAATTCTGATGGATAAAATGGAATAGCCTTGGCTCGAGTTAGCACCAATGAATAGACTTTGATTTTAAATCTTATCTGTCCCAGTACCCACATGCCGTAACTTGGGAAACTTTACTGAAAAAAAAAAAAATTGAGTAAATCCTTTTCTTGAGATCTCGCTTTACAAATCAAAAATGCACCAACTGGTTAGTAAACTGAGTCACTTCCTATTGTTCTTTGGCAATCTTTTAAAAATCAATCAATCAAAACCCTTGTTTACTTACCCAATGAATCCATGTCCAGCTCATTGCAGTAAAAAGAGATATCACTGTCACAAAACACGGTCTAGGTCCCTTAATCCAGCCTCTTTTGATCTCAAAAGGTGGTAACATTCAGTTCAGAGCTCACTCATCTGTAAATTGCATCACATTATCTCTGAGTTATTTAAGAAGCAAGCTCTGTTTGGTTTCAGGCATTTTAACCTGCTAAAGGCAAGGAGGGTTTGCCACATAATTTCAAAGGTCTTCCACTTACTACAACCGTCAGAGAAAGCAAAATGATCGAACCCATCGGGAATCAGTACGTTGTGGCCAGGCCAGTGTATTCTGCAAACGCTTTTGGGGAAGAACATAAGAAGAAAGAAAGACATCATAAGACACCTCTGGACCATCTCAAAAAGTTGTGCGGGTAAGATATTTTCTGAAGTACTGGCATTAGGACTAAGTGAAGCACTTTCTCTGAAATTTTTAAGCTTCCAAGTTCTTTCTAGTCCAGTCTCCAGAATCAGGCTTTTTCATCTTTGATTTCGAAACCTCCTACTCCAGGGCTAGAAAGGTAGTCTCTGAACACCATCTCAGCTCTCGACACAACCTTTCCGTATCAGACAACTGATAGATGAGGACAGAGGAAAATTTTCTGCCAAGTGCTTACAAGTCAAGCTGAGGATGACAAATAAGTTCTATTGTGGCTAAAAGAAATATTTTTCTTAAGAAAACAAAAGTCCTTTGGTGGCAGTCAGGGCAGTTAGTATGTGTAAAGAGGTGAATATTAGTGGGAAGATTAGTGAAATGATAGCATCTTTACCCAATTTCCATCTACAATAGGTAGTAAACTTAAAATTGGATATTAATTAACTGACCTACGGTTTTCATTGTTTCAGCTGTTCTGCACAAAAGGCCAAGAAAATTGCCTTCTCTTTGTTCCCCATAGCATCCTGGCTGCCAGCATATCGCATAAAGGAATGGCTCCTCAGTGACATTGTTTCTGGAATCAGCACAGGGCTGGTGGCTGTGCTGCAAGGTAACTTTATTTTGAGATGTAATTTATATATCATAGAATTCATCCTTTTAATGTGTAAATTCAGCATTGGGTTTGTTTGTTTGTTTTGGATATTTACAAGGTTGTGCAACTATCATGGCTAATTCTGAGACATTTTCACCATATCCATCCCCCCCAAATCTCTTGTAAATCACTTTCCAACCTCCCTCCACCCAGCCCCTTGACAACAATTTTCTGTCTCATGGGAGTTATCTATACTGGACGTTTCATGCAAACAGAATCACAGAATATATCAGTCTTCTGTGTCTCGTTTCTTTCACTTAGCATAATGTTTGCAAGTTTCTCCCATGATGTACAAATCCTTCATGCACTTTTATGGATGAATAAGATCCTGCTCTATAGATACACCACATTTTGTTTGTCCATTCATGAGTTGATGGACATTGGGTTGTCTCCACCCTGTGGCTTTTATGAATAACATTGATACTATTATGAACACTTGCACACAACTTTTTGTGTGAATGTATGTTTTAATCCTCTTGGGTATATACCTAGGAGTATAATTGCTGTGTCATATAATAATTCACTAGCAATGGTGAAGATTCAAATTCCTCCACATCCTTGTGAACACTTTTTACTGTCTGCCTTTGTTATTTTAGCAATCGTACTGAGTATGAAATGGTATCTCTTTGTGGTTTTGATTTGCATTCTCCTAATGACTAATGACGTTGAGCATCTTTTCATGTGCTTACTGGCCATTTGTATATCTTTGGAGAAATGTCTATTTAAATCTTTTGTATATTTACAAAAATCTTTTGTATATTTTAAAATTAGGTTATGTGTCTTTTATTTTTGAGTTGCAATGGTTGCTTACACATTATGGATAATAGACCTTTATCCAACATATGATTTGCAGATAATTTCTCCCTTTCTGAGGGATGTCATTTCCCTTTTTCATAGTATCTTTGAAGTACCCATTTTTACATTTTGATGGAGTCCAGTTTATGTGTTTTAAATTTGGCCGCTTATGCTATAGGTGTCACTAAGAAACCCTTGCTTAATTCAAGGACACAAAGGTTTGTACCTAAGTTTTCTTGCAATAGTTTTATAGCTTTAGCTCTTACATTTACATCTTTGATACATTTGAGTTAATAAAACAAGTTTTAAGGTGCAATCTTAAATAGTAGAAGACCTTAATGAAAACTTCTATGATCCCTTTGCATGAAATAAAAACACTGATGCTTGTATATTTACAGGTTTAGCATTTGCTCTGCTAGTCACCATCCCCCCAGGCTATGGGCTATATGCAGCCTTTTTCCCAGTCATCATCTACTTTTTCTTGGGCACTTCTAGACACATATCTGTGGGTAAGTGAATTACTGGGCTGATTAATGCTCATTGCTTTTTCTTTATGAATGACATTAGCCATGCATTTGTGTATGCGTGCTAAGTTGCTTCAGTTGTGTCCAACTCTTTGCAACTGGACAAATGGACTGTAGCCTGCCAGGTTCCTCTGTCCATGGGATTCTCCAGGCAAGAATACTGGAGTGGGATGCCGTGCCCTCCTCCAGGGGATCTTGTCAACCCAGGGATCAAACCCACGTCACTTATGTCTCCTGCACTGGCAGGGGGTCTCTTCACCACTGGTGCCACCTGGGAAGCCCCAGTCATGAATTGTATCAGTTCCACATTGTGCAGCATCCAGAAGAGGAGTCATAACTTCTTGTAATCACAAAGTAGAACTGGGACTTGGGAAGGAGACCAGAACTCCAGATGGTAGTCCTTCTACATGCTGCATTTTGGTTGAAAGACAGCTGTGCAATGGGGAGCACAATGACTACAACTCACCCTCTCTTTATTAGGTCCGTTTCCAGTTCTGAGTATGATGGTGGGAGCAATAGTTGTCAGATTAACCCCAACAGACAATACAGCTGATTCAGCAATCGCGAATAGCACAATGACTAATGATTCATCAATAGATGAGCAGAAGGTGATGGTGGCTGCCACAGTTACAATTCTTTCTGGAATCATCCAGGTGAGCATTTTGTCACATAATCTACCCTCCCCCATCTGTGTGTCCTGACTGGTACACATCTTTCTGGTTTTTCTCCTTCTTGCCACCCCTCCCAACTCTTTCTGTTAGTTTGTGTGCCTCCTTCAGTGGCCCATTGGAAATAATTTAAGAAGAGTCACTCATGGCAACCATAAGAGGAGGGACAGATTTACTTTGCAAAGAGGAATGAACGTGGGTCTGGAGAGTAGGAAGAATGAGAACATGGAGGCACATGTGATGACAAGTAAATGCTGAATTCAATAAAATACCTGGGAATTGATACACTCACAGTTCTTACTAAACAGAACTGCATGCAAGTAATAGAGAAACTGGCAGCTTGGAAATTTTTTCTCATTTCACATTGTGTGAGTGCTCAGTCACTTCATTTGTGTCTGACTCTTTGCCACCCCATGGACTATAGGCCGCCAGGCTCCTCCATGGGACTATCCCAGCAAGAATACTGGAGGGGGTTGCCATTTCCTACTCCAAGGGATCTTCCCAACCCAAGGATAGAACTGGTGGCTTCTGCATTGGCAGGCAAGTTCTTTACCACCGAGTCAACTGGGAAGCCCAATTTCTTATTGAAAGTGAAAGTGTTAGTTGCTCAGTCATGTCCAACTCTTTGTGACCCCATGGACTCTGTCCATGGAATTCTCTAGGCAAGAATACTGGAGTGGCTTGCCATTTCCTTCTCCAGGGGATCTTCCTGACCCAGAGATAGAACCCAGGTCTCCCACATTGCAGGCAGATTCTTTATCATTTCAGTCACCAGGGAAGCCCTGAAGCTTACCATCTGAGCCACCAGGAAAGCCCCAGATGGTAAAGAATCTGCAATGTAGGATAACTGGGTTCGATCCTTGGGTCGGGAAGATACCCTGGAGAAGGGAATGGCTATGTACCCCAATATTCTTAACTGGAGAATTCTATAGTTCACATAGATTAGGGAGGGGCTTAAAGACTTACTCCCAAGCCACACCCCCACCACCATGACTGGCTTGTAAAAAATGTACCTGTTCTCAAGATGTTAGATAGTGATAATGTCAAACTCTTCAAGGTGTTGCCTAAAGACAAAAGGGTAAAAAAAGTCAATTCAAACCAAGACATAGTGGTATGTCAGTTCAATGATGGGGTCCGAGTGCATCTCCGATTCTAGTGCTTTTGCAAACTCACAGCTCAGGTTGCATTCTGGTGACAGGAGTGGAGAGTCTGGTCAACTTTCTATATCCATTTACATTATTGCAAAATCCTAATTCTTTGGGGGAATGAACCAGTTTTGCCCTCAGTTAAAATCAAGCAGTTTTGATGTCATAAACAGTTATGTATTTTCCAACAAAAGTTGACCAACTTGTTTGAGGGAATCTGAATGGATGCTTGTCCATGCATTCGACAGCAACCAAAAAACTGAAAAATTTATGAGGGCTGGTGTTAGATAAAATTTTGCTATGAAAAGTTTATGGGTGAGTCTCCTAAAAACACCTTGCCTTCAAAAGAGGGAAGAAAAGAAACATGCTAGTTCTTGGAGGTGTACTGAAATGATGTGCTATTTGAACACCATGCAACATTTGGGGTGGGGGCAAGGATGAGGGACGCAGAGGGAGGTACCTTAATGGGAGGTGTTCCAAGGAGGTTGAGACACTTTTTTCTTCCAGACCCAAGAATAGAGGCTGAACCTCCACAGTTTGAACCATTTCAGTGGTTGATCTTTCAGACTGCCGAGGTGTATTGTGAATCTACACTAACAAGGCTCTGCCTTCTCTTTGCAGTTGCTGATGGGGGTTCTACGGCTGGGCTTCGTGGTGATTTATCTATCTGAGTCCCTTATCAGTGGCTTCACCACCGCTGCCGCTATTCATGTTTTGGTTTCCCAGCTCAAATTTATGTTTCAGCTGACAGTCCCGGCACACACCGATCCATTTTCACTTTTTAAAGTGAGTATTTTTTTTGCCTCAGAGATAAGGAAGGAATACATGAAATTCACTATCATGTTTCCCAAAGAACTTTCCTTTTGTGTCTTTGCTGCCAGGCTTATCTAACAACTTCCAGGAAATCAACAGGCTGTGAAATGTATTCATAGGAAGAAAAAAGTTAGTGGCAAAGAGAACAACCCTGAAAATCTATCACAATTCCCATGCAGCTGATGTAAACAACAGAAATTAAGTACCACTTCTTTTAGATTTGACTCTTCCGTATATTTTAAAAGAAAAAAAATTGATGGTGCACATGATGAAAAGCTTTGTCCCGAGTTTGAAAATCTTTCTTAAAATCTTATGCTGAAAGAAATGTGCTAATTGGATAGTACTGCTTCCCTATTCCTAAAAAAGCAGGTTTTGTTTTTTAGAATTAAAATTCTTCTGACTCTTATGTATCCTTGTTTATAAAGCAAAAGGAAATTGGCCAATATGTAAATAGAACAGTGGTTCTTCTCTCCTCTAGAGCATGTACTATAGAACAGTGTTATTAGCGCCTCTAAATTTATATATTTATGTCCTCACTCTTTTTTCTTTTGAGAGTCTAGCTAAAGGTTTGTCTCCTTTGTTTATCTTTTCAAAAAGCCAGCTTTTAATTCCATTGAACTTTTCTTTCTTTCTTTCTTTCTTTCTTTTTTCAGTCTCAGCTTCAATTCTTCCCCCTCTGTTCTTTGTTATTGCTTCTTTTTCCTGACTTTGGGGCTTGTTAGTGCTTCTATCAAGACAGTGTTTGGGAGTCTGAGACAAAACTTGCTCCAAGTTGGAACCAGACCTCTCTCACTCCCATTCAGAGCTATTCCAGAAGTATAATCTTTCGGGAGTAATTTGGGATCCTGTCTGGGCCTGCTTGAGCTGTCCAGATACCATAGGTATGGAATCCAACTGGCCTTGAGAATTAAGACTATAAACAGTGCACAGCTAGCCAGGAAACTATTTTCCAAAGTGACAGAGAGAGTCGATGAAGCAATATAAGGGGTCTGAACCTTAAAAAAAAAAGCCAGGGATTAAGGGGATACATGCTAAGAAAAACTATCAGAGGTGAAAGGTGACAGAGCAATAGTGTTGATTATGAAATTAAAAATGAAGTATACATACAGCTGATTCACTTTGTTGTACAGGAGAAACTAACAGCATTGTAAAGCAATTTTACTCCAATAATAAAAACAAGAAACAAAAAAAATGATGGCAATGAGACCTAAGAGTAGAAGAGACCAGTTATAAAAATGTGAAAAGCATTCCAGAAAATTTGACACTAGATGAAGAGCATCGCTAAACCAGTGTGATGATAATGCTATGCTAACTTCCTCTTCTCATCATCTCCATGCTAGTCTCTACAATTACTAGTGTTTAACATGAGCACTATGGCAATGCTATCCATCTATCAGTCCTTTCATGTCTTACATTTATTTTTATGTATTTGGAATTAACTGTTGTATCCAAATTACACATTAATGTAGCACTTGGGTTTTTCAATTTTTATACTTCCAGGTCCTAGAGTCCGTATTCTCACAAATAGAGAAAACTAATATTGCAGACCTTGTGACATCCTTGATTATCCTGTTGGTGGTATTTGTGGTTAAAGAAATAAATCAGCGCTTCAAAGCCAAGCTTCCAGTGCCCATCCCAATTGAACTCATTGTGGTAAGTGATCATCTTAAGGTTTCAGTTCATAATTCGTTTGCCTTGTGTTTTTTTTCTTTTTTTTAATTAACTAATTTATTTTAACTGTAGGCTAATTACTTTACAATATTGTGGTGGTTTTTGCAATACATTGACATGAATCAGCCATGGGTGTACATGTGTCCCCCATCCCGAACCCCTCTCCCACCTCCCTCTGGGTAGTCCCAGGACACGGGCTTTGAGTGCCCTGTTTCATGCATCAAACTTGGACTGGTGATCTATTTCACATATGGTAATATACATGTTCCAATGCTATTCTCTCTAATCATCCCACCCTTACCTTCTGCCTTGTGTTTTTCTGTTGAAAGCCCTTCCCTCTCTGTAAATTAGGAGGTTTTAGTGAGACAGGCGATCTCTCTGCAGTTTCTGGTATGACATTTAGTATGGTATTTCTCTTCATTCATAATTTAATAACTTGCTTTGATGATTTGGGGTTTATTCTTTCCATGTAAGGCAAGAGAGCAGCCCTCTGAGAAGCCTGGTGGTAGACTCATTGGAGTGAAGCTGTGGTTCTGCTTCAGTAGTACATTAGAATTGCCTTGGGACTTTTCAAAAAGTAGCCAAACCTGAGCTTGAGATTTCTATGTAATAGGTCAAAGGGTGGCCTTTGGCAATGGTACTTTTTCTTTTTTTTAAAGCAAGACTCCTAGTGACTTTTCCCATTTCTAACGGGCAATTTGCAACTTTGCAGACTGTGATCGCAGCAGGTGTGTCCTATGGCTTTGACTTCAAAACCAGGTTTAATGTGGCTGTGATTGGGGAGATGAAACCTGGGTAAGTGTCTTTCTCATGATGGCATCTCCAAGCACCAATTGGAGAGTTAGCAGTAGTGACAGAGGACTCTAAGTTGAAATGCATTAACCCAGCTCAGCACTCTCCCTGTATCTGGCATCCATCACATATCCAGGAGGAAGGCTCAGTTCTGTCCTAGGAATAAGTCACGAAGGACATCAGGTCTGCAGTTCTTAATATCAGAAAGCGTCTCCATGTGAAAGAACTCACAAATAGAGAAGGGACTCACATGCACGTAAAAGCGAGATAGTAAAAGTAGAAAAAGAGGTTAAACTTGTTTCTTCTCGTAAAAAAGAACCGAGAGAAACCAGATTTCCCTAGCCATTAATTACCATAAACATTATGTAGTGTTTTGTTTGAAGTTACTGGAGCCAAGTTCCAATAGTTCAAAGGAGACGCGAAGGAATACCTGCCACAAACTGCTTGAGCAATCCAGATGGGCACACTCTGTCCTTTCTCAAGATCAAGTTCAAAACAAGCCCAGAGGAACTCGTACGGCTCCAAAAGTCTGGGAGGTGCAGTTTGTACAAGGAGTTTGAAAATGTAGCCCATTGCCTTTATTCAGTTGTCGAGGGAGATCCAGTTTTGTGCTCTTTCCTCTCTCTGCCTTCTGACCATCGCAGCAGTTTCTTCCAGCTTACTTACCAAGGAAACATTGTATTCCTGGTAATGAAACAAAATGAAAACAAACCAAAAATGAAAACCTTCCCTCCTTCCCATACCTAGGAATATTTAAGAATTATTCTAGGAATAAGAATTTATATGCATTGCATTGTTGACTTAAAAATAGCTAACTTCTAATAGAAAGTGAAAAGTGAAAGTGAAGTCACTCAGTCGTGTCTGACTCTTTGGGACCCCATGGGCTGCAGCCTACCAGGTTCCTCCGTCCATGGGATTTTCCAGGCAAGAGTACTGGAGTGGGTTGCCATTTCCTTCTCCAGGAGATCTTCTGGACCCAGGGATTGAACCTGGGTCTCCTGCATTGTAGGCAGATGCTTTACCATCTGAGCCACCAGGGAATTTCTATTAGAAGCAAATATATATTTTAAAGCAAAAAATATTTTTATCACCAGATAAAAACATGTTATACTTGTAATATTTAGATCACAAATATCACTTTATTTTTTATTTTTGGTTGTGAATTCTTTTTTTTTTTTTTGTTTAGAAGTGTTTTTTAATATCAAGCATAAGGATATTTTATTTATTTATTTTTTGTCATACATTGACATGAATCAGCCATGGATATACATGTATTCCCCATCCCGATCCCCCCTCCCACCTCCCTCTCCACCCGATCCCTCTGGGTCTTCCCAGTGCACCAGGTCCGAGAGCTTGTCTCACGCATCCACAAATATCACTTTAAATGGTAGAATTAGGCTGAAGTTGAAAGACTGTTTCTAGGGTTTCTCTCCACTCTGTAACTTTCAAGTGATTATACTTTATCTTATCAGAAGGATTTGGGAAATAAAAGATAAACTTAAGATCACTGAGCTACAGTGACATTACTGAGTAAATGTATTTTAAATGTCAGTGGACCTCTCTCCACAGCATGCGTGGGTGAAGAAGGGGCTGACATATTTATAGATCATCACACTCTAAAGAGAGGCAGTGTAGCCCAGTAAGCAAATTCATGCTTTCTAGAGGCAGAGTGCCTGGAATTTACTCCAGACTCCCTTGCTGACCTTAGGCAAATAATTAAACTCTGTGACTTAACATCTTCGGCTGTATAAAATGGGGTAAACATAGTAGTTATTACATAGGATTCTTGTAAGGATTAAGTGAGTTAATACATGTGATGTCCTGAAGTGCCTGGCCACTGCAAGTGTTCAAACGCAGTACTGCTATTCTTACTTTATCACTTTACATGCTTTTTACACTCCCACTTTTTCTGAGTGATGATTGAGTGAACATTTTAAATGCCCAATGGTGTTTGCAAATAGAATATAAGTGAAAGATAATGATTAGTAATTATTGCTAATATGCTATTAATGAATATGACATCTTAGAAGTGACTTTGTAAAGTCATGTACACTGAATGCAAATACTTGGCTAAAGGAGAGAGATCATTGAAATGGTCAACAGAACACAAAGGATATATTCAGATTCAGAGGGACACTGTAATAGTAGCTAAGAGGCACTTTGTACTTTACAGTGTGTGAATAGTATTCACATTCATTGTTTTATTTGACCCTTCCACAAAAATTATGAAGAAAAGGGAACAAGTGTTATTATCATCACTTTACGATTGAGGAACCTGGGTAAGTAATAAGTGAGGAAATCAATCCAGTTTTCGGACTGCAAATCCCCATCACATCATTCTGCCTATGGCATTTAGAGGCTAGAACAAAATAATAATAGCAGGCTTCTGGGTATTTTGGTATAAAATGCAAATTGTATCACTCATTTTATATTTTACATATATAATATTCCCAGCTAACTTTCTGATTTATAAAAGCTGCAGAATACAAAATAATAGTACTCCTTCAAAATTAGAGCTAAAACTGTATTAACACTTACAAAACATGAACAGCAATTAAAAAGAATTGAATGGACCCAGTTAACCCAGTTGTAATAAGTTTTACATCAGAAACAGATGTTTATAGGAGCTGAACATTTTAGTAAATATTATTTAACTGCTCTAAGTCCATGCAGACATAAACACAGACATATCATCTGTGACTTCAATGTTTCCCTGACACAATCTCACTTTAACTGAAACCCACCCTCCATCACAGCCACAGTTGGCTATAGCCAATAGTGGAGCTCAGGGCAGAGTCCAGCATTTGTTTGCTAAGAGTTTTCCGTGAGAAGTTATTGTTATCAATGGAGGAAAGAATATCTTGCTTTCCTTGTCTCAGAACTGTGTTTGTTCAAAGAGCCTTCATCCATGGATAACTATTGGAGGCATCATGAGCTTTGCTTTGTAACCCAATGTAACAATACAACTGGGATCTGAGATGTTTTGCTGGAAGCTTATATTGATCTCAACGTACACTGTAATGTAGCTATCATAGCAAAATCATACCAGATTTATCACTATCATTAGACTAGTTTTACAATCTTTTATCAAATCCAGGCAGCATTGCTTTTCAACATTAAGATAAAAGATTGCAAGGTATTCAGTGGTGTTAAATTCTTGCTAGTCACACTTGAAAGGCACAACTCAGCCTAGAATGCATTCGTTCAATCACTGACTTGCTCAACAAATACTACCTGATACATGCTGTGAAAAGTGTTTGTTTGATCATGATCATAGAACCGTGAACTAGTCATTGTCCCTGCTCTGGGTCTGGGTGGAGAGTTTTCTGCTGGAGGGAGGATGGAAAGAGGAGGTATCAAAAACTGGAGAAGCACAGACAATCTCGCCTAACCCTGACCTTAGGGATGAGAAATGACTTTCTGGAGGGAAGGCTGGGAATGAAGGGAATAGTTCAGGCAGAGGGAACAGCAAATTAGAAGCTTCCAAGGTGGGAGATGATGGGTGATGAGAAACAAAGGAAACTTGGTATAGCTGGAGTCTAAATTCTGAGAAATGGTAGCAATTAAGCAAGATGTGGGGGAAGGGGCCACTGGGGCCTTGCTAAGGAATTTGGACTTTTTCCTGAGGATACATGGATGCTGTCGAAGGCTTCTAACCAGGTGGGCAACATTCTGACTTGCTTAATTTCAATTTCAGGTTTCAGGCCCCTATCACACCTAGCAGGCAGACTTTCCAAGATATCATCGGAGACTGCTTTGGTGTTGCCATTGTTGGCTTTGCAGTGGCCTTTTCTGTGGCCAGCGTCTACTCCCTCAAGTATGATTATCCCATCGATGGCAATCAGGTAAGTATACAACCGACAATGGGTCTAGTTAGGCAATTTGAAATACTACTTTGCATATATAATATTGAGGTGCTGTGTCTAAAAAAGACTCCTCCTTGCTCTCCTGTCAGGAGCTGATCGCCTTGGGAGTGAGCAACATATTCGGTGGATCGTTCAGAGGATTCGCAGCAAGCACCGCTCTCTCCAGATCGGGGGTCCAGGAGAGTACAGGAGGCAAAACTCAGGTCCTGGAGGGTCTTCGCTAAGAGGCCCATCCTCGCATGAGCCACTGGGGGTTCAGAACCCTGGGGGGAAGTTGAGTTTGTGATGAGAATGTCCTCCTCTCCACAGATAGCTGGCCTTATCTCTGCTATCATTGTGCTGATTGTCATCGTCGCCATCGGATTTCTCCTGGAGCCTCTACAAAAGGTAGCACTCCCCGTTGGGCTGACATCTCTCTCCTTTGGGTGATGAATCGAGGACCCTGGTCCTTAACTCAGGAGGCATAAACTAAACTAGGGAAAATGAGTATCTACAAACTCTCAAGTACTCTTCTTAGCCAATATTCTACGGGCCAAAAATATTTTTTTCTCTCCTGGCACTATTTTATAAATGTTAGGAATGCAAATACCCAACAACACTACTCTTAAAACTCTACACTGCCTTATCAGTTCTACTCCGCTGATCAACTCAACCCTTCAGTCTCTATGTGTTTACCCCAGATATGATTAATGTTTAGGTTGGAAGGCACCCTGGCACTGAACCTTCCATATGGGTTGACTAAAGTGAAGATTTTCTTAAAGGTCGATGCCATTGAGGCCTGTATGGAATTCAGGGAATGGTACTACCAACCACACAACTCGTTCTTAGGGTACGCCCTGCAGCTCCCAGAGTGTGGTTTGACTCCAAGACCAAAATTGTCAGATTGATGGATGCGAGCAAACAGATAGACTTTGACCTTGCACCTTTACCCTCCTGCTCCTCCGCCTGTTTCTCCAGAACTGTAATTTTTGAGGGTGTAGTTTTATGCTTTCTCCACCACTGCAGTACCTAGGTTACAAAAATAATAGAGGGCCCTAGGAAACACAGGATCTGTAGGAAACCAAATGATGGTCAATATATTGTTCTTTGTGGTGTTAATGTGATCATGAGGTAGTACAGAGGGCACTGGCTCTAGTCCTGTAGACCTTCTCCCAATCTTGCTCTGCTGCTTATTATCTCTGTGCTTTAGGCAGATTACTTAACCTCTCTGAACCTCAAGTTGCCCATTTGTAAAATAGAGAGGGAAATAGTACCCACTTCACAGAGTTGTTGTGAAAATTAAATGAAATAGGGCATGAGAAGTTTTAATATTTAGTCCAGGGTGTGGCACATGATAAACACTTAACCAATGATACCCTTTATTGGGAAGACTATTATTGTTGTTATTCTACTAACATCCAATCACACCTCTGACTACAGAGGACAGAGACATAGGACACAGTCCATCAAAGTCTGTTGGACTTTTTCTTTGTTGGTTGGTAGCTGGAACATGAGTTTTATCCCAGGTTTCTGGTGTCCTGATATGGTTATCCCAAACCTGGCCAAACAATGCACAGTACTTGTTGTCAAAACTATGCATTCTTACTATGCTAACCTGATTTCCAAAGGAATGGCATAAAAGGAGTCAAAAAGTCACCCCTGAAGAAATATTATGTGTAAGAATGTATATATCAATAAAAATAAATGCACACACAACCCCCCTACATAGAGAATTCAGCCCGGTGTACTTCTTCCTCTGTATATCCTTGGTCTATACTTCACCCACTTCAATTTGGAGAAACTATAAAAAAAAAAAAAGCAATTGCCACTTAATTCCTCTCTCCTTCATGAATAAACAACACCAACAACCCTGGCCAGGATGTTAATCAAAGGCCCTACTTTGTAAAGGATCCATCTGACAATTACTTCTTCGATCACTGTGTCTATAATGTTTTTGTTTCATCTAAATAACTGGTCTGCTTTTATCATATGAAGGCAAAATAACCTTTCATGATAGCTAAGAATGAATACTCCTTTAGCACTTACTAAGTATCAGCAGAGTTCTAACGGTTTTTTTTATAGTTAATCCTTAGTTACAGTCTGGAGAGCTGGTTCCTGGTAAAATGATCCCCCTTTTCCTGCCTATGGCTTCTCAATGCTTTGTAATCTTTATTTTTTTTAAGGAGTTATTGTGTATGTGTTTCATTGTAAACTGTTACAAATTTTTTTAACTTAGAAAAATTTTAATCGAAGTATAGTTAATTTACAATGCTGTGTTAGTTTCATGTGTGTAGCAAAGTGATTCAATTATACATATATGTTCTTTTTCAGATTCTTCTCCCTTATTAGAAGATACTGATATAGTTCCCTGTGCTATACAGTAGGTCCTTGTTATTTGTGGGTGTTTAGTCACTAAGTAGTACTAAGTAGTTTAAGTCTGACTCTTTTGAGACCCCCATGGATTGTAGCCTGCCAGCCTCCTCTGTCCATCGGATTTCCCAGGCAAGAATACTGGAGTGGGTTGCCATTTCCTTCTCCAGGGAATCATCCTGATCCAGGGTTCGAACCTGAGTCTTCTCATTGGCAAGCAGATTCTTTGCCACTGAGCCACCAGGGAAGCCCCTTTGTTATTTACCTAGTTTCAGATTTTGTTTTTCCATGGAATACTGACTAGGTACGAATGAAAAGATAAAAATAACATCTCTTTTGCAAGTTACACTTGACTTGTTTTATACTAAAGTTTCCCAAAGCAGGAGGTTTATTGTACAGAATTCTATGAACCCTTCATCCAGATCCCACAGAGGTGGCATCTTACACAGCTACACTGCAATATCAAAACCAGTACATTGACACTGGAAGGACAGGTGCTGAAGCTGAAGCTCCAGTATTTTGGCCACCTGATGCAAACAACTGACTCGTTGGAAAAGACCCTGATGCTGGGAAAGGTTGAGGGCAGGAGGAGAAGGGGATCACAGAGGATGAGATGGTTGGATGGCATCACCGACACAATGGACATGAGTTTGAACAAGTTCCAGGAGTTGGTGATGGACAGGGAAGCCTGGTGTGCTGCAGTCCATGGGGTCGAAAAGAGTTGGACATGACTGAGTGACTGAAGTGAAGCTTTGAATTCTATTCTAAGACCCCCAAGCTCCCTGAGGTTTTGTTTTTTTTTTAAACAAAGAGCAACACCCACTCCCTACTACAGTAAATAGACACACACTAGACTATCTCTGATTAGAAAGAATTGCTTTCAGTCACAGGTCTTCAGATCTGCCTTTCTCTGTCTCCAGGTACAGATGAGTAAGTGCTATCAGATGGGCATGTCCCTGTCACTGTGGTGGAGGCAAAATCATACCTCGGGATAGGTCAGAGATCCAGGGCTGCTGTGCTGTGCATGGCATTGCACGCCGGAAAAGGGTGTGCTTTGATAGGCTTTGAGGCCCTTGAAAGGATTCACTATCTACAGCCTTCACCTTTGCTTCTATATGGTGATTGGATTATCTCAAAGTACATCTGCTCTTCTGTTTCCTCAGTCTGTCCTGGCAGCTTTAGCACTTGGAAACTTGAAAGGAATGCTGATGCAGTTTGCCGAAATACGAAGATTGTGGCGAAAGGATAAGTATGATTGTGTGAGTAGTGGTGATATTATCTGAGAGAGGAACTGGAATTGCATTTTCATGCTGATGTAAAATGTACATTTATATTGTAAACAAAGGGAAATTTTGTTTCTATCTACCTGTTCAAATAACCTGAGTTTGTTTCATTTGCTATCTTGAAACTGCACACTCTAATGATTATTCTCTGGGATTTTAATGTAAAAGGATGAGTTACTTACAAGTAGGAAATAGTCCATGAAGCACAAAGAGAGAACTTCTTAGATCTCTTCTAAAAATTCTTGTAGTCATCTCTAATGCCACAGAAACTCTCTGAATCTTAGGGTATTCATTGCTTCTATTCTTCATTACCTTATATGGCAGTGTCCAAAGAATCTATGAAGAACTCAAATTCTGAACATTCCTTTTGGAAACACTCTGTAAAGGCTCCGCTCACTCTCAACAAACCTTGCTCTGAGAAGCTGTGTCCCTAATTATATCAGGGTCAAAGTCTGTGGTGTAAAAAGGCTTGTTAACATAGCTTATGGTTCTTAACAAACATAAAGTAATAAGCCAGGTTTAGTTTTGCTGCTGCAAGATCAGTGTTAGGGACTTTTACAGTTTTGGGGCATGCCAAGAGTCTGGTAGAGATGAAAGTGTTAGTCGCTCAGTCATGTCTAACTTTTTGTGACCTTATAGACTATAGCCCACCCACTAGGCTCCTCTGTCCATGGAATTCTTCAGGCAAGAATACTGAAGTGGGTAGCCATTCTCTTCTCCAGGGCATCTTCCTGACTCAGAAATCGAACCCTGGTCTCCTGCATTGCAGGCAGATTCTTTACTAGCTGGGCCCCCCAGGAAAGCCCCCAGCAGAGATAGTAGCCTTAATTAAATCAGCAGACTAAGTAAGATATTAGTCCAGAGTCTACCGATTGATAACAAACAGCAACTGATTCTGGAATTTTAGCTGGGACAGATTCAGTCATTCCCTTAACTGGTTCAGGGGTGGGATTAGAAAATGGATACACTCTCTTGGGATTTTTGAAAAGATTTGCTTGTGCTTCTGCAGCTTCTGAACCTGAGCCAGCAGAATGACCAGAAGGCAGATCCCTTCTGCTATGTACTCCTGACCTCTGCTTTAGCCCTAGAAGTTCATGCTTTCTTATAGCTCTGAACCCAGGACACTGTATTTGAATCAGAGTAGTAAATGGTAGTGTATGTGTTGCTTGTTTTTTGACAGCTAATCTGGGTCATGACCTTCATCTTTGCCGTTGTCCTGGGGCTCGGTTTAGGCCTGGCAGCTAGCGTGGCATTTCAGCTCCTGACTATCGTCTTCAGGACTCAGTTGTAAGTGCTCATTGTGGTCTGCATCCTTGCAGGCTTTGACTTGCCTGGGTCAGAGGAGAAAAATACCTGTCACTGGTTAGGGGGAAAGCAGTTTAGTTGATAGGTATGCAAATCTATCAAGACTGGCCAGAGGGGACTGCCCTGGTGGTCCAGCGGTTGACTCTGCACTTTCAATGCAGGGAGTGTGGGTTTGATTCTTGGTTGGGGAACTAAGATCCCACAAGCCTTACAATGCAAACCCCACCCCTCTAAAAGAAAAGAAAAGAAGATTGGCCAGTCTATTCTGCCTCACTCCAAGGCCTGAAGGCAAAAGATGGCCCAACCTTACATTAGCTGAATCCCACCAGTTGTTGGTCTGCTTCCTTCTTTGACAACAATTCAAAGAAATCATAAATCTCTGTTTACCCAGCTGTAAACTGGAAGTAATTCTGAGCAAGTTTACTGTCTTTGCCTCAGACTTGTTAAACACAGGGCAAGTGTTCCTGAGAAGATTCTGAGATTCTCTGTGTCCGAGGGAGGGTTGTTCCTCTGGGCAGGTTGTTAGATTGGACTCCCACCTGGAAATCATGGAGCTGGATTAGAGAACTTTTGAAAGGCCCCTTTCAACCTAAAATGCCACAAAAGTCACTTAGAAGTCTTGATTTTTTAACAGAATTCAAACAGATTTCCCATCCAAACACCTTCTGGATTCTTAAATCTGTTATATAATATCACCACCGTGTGGTCACTCAGGCTTTGATGGATTATATGACGTGACAGAAAGAGAAGGCTTCTTGGGATCTAAGGTGTTCTAGAAGAGAAGGTGTTATCATACTTAAGTTTGATGGACTGATGGAATACATTTACATTGAGATGTTCCCACACTCTTCTATTCACTTATATTTTCATTCATTTCTTTGGGACTCATCAAACCTAAGAGACAAATTGAGTGGTTGTAGGCAAGTCATAATACTTCTCCATGTCCTCATCTATACAACAAGGTGATTGTATCTGCCTTATTTCACCCAATAACTGTAATATTCAGAATCAAAATGTCAAAGGCATATGGAAGTGCTTTGTAAACTGGATGTGGGAGATGGGAGAGGAGGCACAGTTTCGGAGCTGTGGGAGGGTCAGTCAAACAAGGTGTTTGCCCTCCAGGGCATGATGGCATGAGAATTCTCCAATCTTTAAATTTTGGATAAGTGAGCCTGTTTTGGGATGCTAGGAAAACACCAGCGTTAGCCTTATAGGCCTAATAAATATGCATGAATGATTCACTTGGTGTTGATTTTCCCTACAGTCCCAAATGCAGCACACTGGCCAATGTTGGAAGGAGCAACATCTATAAGAATAGAAAAGATTATTCTGAAGTAAGGTTCATTTTTTCACTCTAATTTGCTAAGTAATATTAACATAAATCTAATGGGCACCATCTAATATGATTTATCTGCCTTACAGATATATGAACCAGAAGGCGTGAAGATTTTCAGATGTCCATCTCCTATCTACTTTGCAAACATTAGTTTCTTTAAGCAGAAACTTATCGATGCTGTAAGGTTTGGGGTTATTAATTTTTTTTTAACTTCACTGAATAATTAGGAATGAAATGCTTGTTCTATAACAAGGAGGAGGGTCACTGATTTCACATATACTGCAGATGGTTAGTGTTCACATTTTTGTATCCTTTGTCCCAGGTGGAACAAGCAGGTGGAACTATCTTATAAGGGGTCCATTAACATGTTAGGAAATGAGACTTTTTATATAAGGTCCAATATAGAGACTCTTTTTGTTATATATTGCTGTAAAGTAAAAAGATTTACCATAAGATAGATGGTCTCCTATAGATTTGCCTTGGGAATCAACTTCAGAAACAATAGGAGTCTTTAATATTTGACTGCATCATTGAAGAGATTCAGGAAAGCAAGTGAATACTTATAAGAGAAATTAATAAATAAAATATAAATGAATATTTAACACTAAATAACAACTAGTGTCCCTGGTGGACTGGAAAGAAGCTGACAAAAAAGCAGACTTTAAGGTTAAGAAACAAAAGCTCAGCACTCTTTCACGTTCCTTCTGGTCCACTCTATCCCTCACATAGAGCTTGCCTTAAGCCCTAACTATTTTTAGTCATCGGTTATGCATCAATTATCTTTCCACCCAACTCTTTTTTTTACAAAAATGGGATCAGATTGTCTATCTGGCTTTAGATACTGTTCTTTTCACTTAATCTAGTATCTTTTCATTTCACTACATTTTTTGGTCAAGGGTTTTTTATTATATAATTTGATCCTCCTTATTACTCTGGGCTTCCCAGGTGGTGGTAGTGGTAAAGAACTCTCCTGCCAATGCAGGAGACATAAGAGATGAGGATTTGATCCCTGGGTCAGAAAGATCCTCTGGAGGAGGAAATGGCAACCCACTCCAGTATTCTTGCCTGGAAAATCCCATGGACAGAGGAGCCTGGCGGGCTACAGTCCATGGAGTTGCAAAGTCAGACAAGACTGAAGCGACTTAGCACGCACACACTTATTACTCTGGAGCTAAATATTACTGCAGTAAGACCACATTTGTTTTGGAAAGGAAAAAAATGAAGGTTACCCTCAGATCTAATACTAAAATTATAAGAGTTCATATAATAGATATTATAAAGTATAATTGTATAAATTCTAATAGAATAAAAATATCTAGAAGCAGGATACTAATTAGATTCCACTCATATTTAACAAATGGAAAAAAATAAAGTGAAATTCCCTAAGGGTAGTGTGGAATAAAAACAAAAACTTCAAATACAGTTTAGATCCATTTGTGGATACTCTAGGGATAAAACCTGGATGGTACAGAGGTTTTTGAATGTTAGTTAACTGCATACAGAGTAGCAGACCATGGATAGGTCTGGTACAATGCCCTCAACGATGATGTGAAATTTTGAATTTCAATGCAAATTTAAATTTTAATGTAAATATCTTTCATATATGTCCCAGTCCCTCAACCCATCCCATTTAATTATGCTATAATTATCCCATTTAATTAAGTGGAATTATGCTATAGCTAGAATTAGGTTATATGAGTAGAATTATGCTATGCAAGTAGCAGAATATTCAGCATTCTTGTAACACAGCAATGGGTTTTTCAGATTGGCTTTCGTCCACTTCGAATTCTTCGCAAGCGGAACAAGGCTTTGAAGAAAATCCGAAAACTGCAGAAGAAAGGCCTGCTACAAGTGACACCAGTAAGCTTCTTTCCCACATTTCTACGTATTACAGCTAAAAGCTGAGTAAAATGTAGTTCAAGTGGTTGGTTCCATTCCTTTTAATGAAGTGGCAGATAAACATGGTACTTCGTGTGTCAATTAGTGTCACGTTTTTAGCGGTCTCTTTAAAATTGTATTCTCCAGGGAAAATTTTTATTCTCCAAATAAAAGAATTTATAATCCCATCACTTGAGCCAACTTTGGCTCTATGTTTCAGAAATTCACTGGTTAACCTTGACATTCAGTGCTTTTCTTGGTCAGAGTTTTTATGCATGTTAGTATCCTCTCTTGCAGAAAGGATTTATATGTACTGTTGATGGCTTTAAAGATTCTGATGAAGAGCTGGACAATGATAGGATAGAAGAGCTGGATCAGCCCATCAATACCACAGACCTGCCTTTCCAAATAGACTGGAATGCTAATCTTCCTCTCAACATTGCGGTCCCTAAAATCAACCTCCACAGCCTCATTCTTGACTTTTCAGCAGTGTCATTTCTTGATGTTTCTTCAATGAGGGGTCTCAAAACGGTAATTTCTTTTTTTCTGAATGAAAGCAATGAATCAGTGACTAAAGGTTAAAAAAAAAAGTTGTATTTGTGGATGGATGATCCTTTAGATAACACATGCATGCTCAAGCAGAAATAAAATTTAATCTTAGAATATTTCATGGAGGGAGTGCAGGTGGGGTGTGTTTGGCCAACACTTTAATAGTGCATTTCCCATGAGACTGCATATAATTTCTAATATAGACTTATAGACAATACTGCTCACATATTAAATCACATATAACATCTTCTCATACTATTAAATTCCAATTCTATTGTGCTTCAAATCCTTGTGGGTGTTCTATCTAAACTGTCCTGAAATAGAGATCTTGCAAGAAAGTAGAATAGTGGTCCTTTTATTTTTATCCTCATCTGCCATAAGCCAATGAACTTTAACTTGGCTATATAACAATTTGTCTTTTTTTTTTAAGTTAGGTATATGAAAGAATATATGTCACGTATGATTTTTAAAAACAGAACTATAACAATCTGGTTGCAGGCTGTTTTCTTACCACAGGTTTGTCAACGTTTCTAAAAGAGTTTTTAACAGACATGCAGAAATAGATATAAAGAAAATTTAAGAACGCCACATCCCCCTCTTTTGCTTTTTTTTAAAAACAGAAATCTGCCTACATAAAAACTGAGCTAAGATCTATTAAGTATAGGTGAACTGGATATAAAATTAGAAAACAGGATTAATTTCATCTCCTTCAAAGTTAAATTTTTAAAAAAATCTTAGTATCACATGACCTTTGAGACTGTTTTCTTTGCTTTTGTCTATTTATTTTTGTTTTGAAGGAGAAAATACACATAACATTTCTTTTTTGATCTTGGTATATAGCGCAAAGGACAGGGACTCTGCCTTAGGTTTCCTGAAGGTCCTAATTCTTACTTCAGCCCAGTAGAGCCTCCAAAAGTTTATACTGATGGTAATAGTGATATTAATGATCACTACTGATATTAATGTAAATGGGACAAGCTACTTTCCTTACCTTTTATAACCTTACTCATATCACCACTGGCATTTGTTCTGAGCCTACAGACCAGGAAAATGGATAAAGGTTCTTTGGTGCTAGACACATTCAGGCACTGTGGACGGAAATAATGAACAACATATGGGTTATGGGTTTTTTAAACTTTTTATAGATAGAAAGCTCTAGTAAAGATCATTCCATAGAAGAAACTTTAAAAATTACATCAGATTTCCTCTTGTGAGTCAGAGCAGACATTTTTTCATTATACTTCCTTCAAGAATGATTGTCTTTTTAACTTTTTACTGAAGAGGAGAGTTCTTTCCTTTAGATTTCTGTCATAGAGCCTTGTTATTAATTTTAGTATCTCTATAGTATTATCTCTTTTCAAAATGTAAAGGGCTCTGAAAGCAACATATTACCATAAGACACAATTATGATAGTTTTCTTTACGTTTCTGACAAGTGAAATTGCTCCGTAAGGAAGATCTGCTTTCTTTTTAACAGATTCTGCAAGAATTTATCAGGATCCAGGTAGATGTGTATATTGTTGGAACTGACGGTAAGTTGTTTTATTTTTATTTTCTGACAATCCCTTTACTGCTAGCTCTCAATCTAGACAGCTTCTCCAAAGAACAGGCATTTTTTATGACCACCAAGGTCTAATTTGTAGATTTCCAACAGGAATCTCCAGGGAAACAGCACCTTTATATTTGAGTTGTGTTGACACATAATTAACTTTACAATTTGAATCCTAGTTTAACAGGCAGCAAAGGAGTGAATATGTAACCACAGTTTACTCTAAACTTCCTAAAAAAGTAGGTTTGTTTACCCTCTTCCTTGCCTCCATTGAATTAGCAGCCCATAATTACCTGGTTTCCGCTTCACTTCACTGATGAGGCTGCCCTTGCCAAGGTCATCAATGATATCCCCATTGTCAAATATCAACCACCCCCATCCCAGCCTTATTCTCTTTGCGCTTTAACAGTGGGCTCTTTCTTTGGCCTCTGTCTCCCTGACTTTGGAAAGACCTTTCTTCTGAGTCCCTTCTCACCACTCTCAGAGTTCTACAGTATCTCACATTGGTTCCTATCCACACTGCTATCTATATGTTAATGAACCCACAAACTGCTATCTCCAGCTCAGACCTTTTTTCTGAGCAGCAGACCCATGTATTCAACCATCTGTATGTCCTCCTTACCTAAGATACACATATTCTAAACTAAATATATACATCCCCCCAACTACTTCTCCTTTTCTATCTTGGTCACTACATCACCACATACCCACCCAGTTGCCCAAAGTACAAACTTTGGAGCCATCTTTAATCTCTCCTCCCCATTCCTCTATATTCGGGGAGTCACCATTAATATTTCATAGTGAATCAGTCTCTTCCTCTCCATTTCTACAGCCTTAATCCAGCTCCTTATCATTTCTCATCTAAGTCCTCTGAAAGAACTAATCAGTGTCCTTGTCCATCCCTAGAATGTTCTGCCATCCCATTTTCTGACTCATCCCATTAATCTTTCTCATGAAGCTTATAGTCCAGTGGGAAAGCCTGGTAATAAACATAGATATTTCAGGTAATGATAAATGCTGTGAAGAAAAAAAATCAGGGTTGAGACATAGAGCAAGAGGGGTAATGCTGTTTTACAAGGATGTCAAGGATGTCCAGAAACTCAACATTTGAGCAGAGATTGGAATGAAGTGAAGGAATCAATCGTGACAGTGTCTTGGGAGGAAACATTTTAGGGAGGGGAGGACAAGTGAAATTGAGGGAGGTGTGAAATTGGCATTAATTTTTGCTCTGTACTGGCTCCTATCCATAAAATCTACAGATATACTCTAGTTTCAAGGGTTCCTTATAATTAAAAATATCCTCTTTCTCAGTAATCCTTTAATCTTAAACAATTTTACTCCTCCATCATCCCAAGTCTCTTGAAAGCATCTCATCCTGCTGCCTCTGCTGCCTGGCATCCCTCTGCTGCTGCTGCTAAGTCGCTTCCGTCGTGTCCGACTCTGTGCGACCCCACAGACGGCAGCCCACCAGGCTCTCCCGTCCCTGGGGTTCTCCAGGCAAGAGCACTGGAGTGGGTTGCCATTTCCTTCCCCAGGTATCCTTTTAGGTCCTTAACTAAGATCATCACCCTTGCTCACTGAGTGCCCCCTGTATCCTGACAACCACAATTCCCTCATCTCCCTCCACTGCAGCTACTGCTAGGTCTTGTCCATGTTGAAAGTTTCCCTGTGAACAGACTTCCCCACCTCCACGCTTTCACACCTCTTCTTCCTCCTCTCCTTTCTCCAAATCCTAGGCATTCTTTTAAATGGTATCTGCTTCATTAACTTTCCCAGAATCCTGCCAAGAGGAAACAATCTTTACCCTTCTCTCTCTAAATTTCCATAGCACATGATCTGTGCCCCTCTTATTCATTTGACAACAATGTGAGGACCTACTATATGCTAGGCATTATTTTAAGAACCAAGAAGACATTAATTTAAAAAATTAGATTGCTTCCTGCCTCTGAGATTCTACAACACTTTTCATTAAGATAGTATATATGTGCTCTGTGTTCCTTTTTTTTTTTTTCTGTCTTCCTCAAGGGCAAGATTCATGTCTAATTTATCTTTTGATCCTACCCAGCCAGAGCTTTGCATATAACAGACATGAGGCAATAACTGATTGACTGATCTGAGCCAACGATGATGGTTAGTTCTTCCAAGAATAGTAATTCCTCAATTACTGGAGAGGTAATGGAGGGAGCCAAGGAAGATGTTTTCCGATGGTACCCAGAAGCTTTGGTAAAATGGACTACAGTAAGCTAATTGGTAAATCCAGAGCCATGACATTGGTCCATGACTATATGTTCTATTTTGGCAGAATCTCCATTTTTAGTGATAAGCCACCTTTGAAGCTCCAGTTATTAACAAGAGAAATTAACCCACAAGGCTCCTGCCTAAAACTGTTTCTCATTTGATCCTTTTTGTTTACATGAAGGTATTCTACATGTAATTTTATTAGAAAGATGCCCTTCAGTTCCAGAAGACATTCTACTAATGGTGCACTAATATTGTACTGCTGCAACTCCCACTTTACGGAACATCAGTGAAATGCACATTTGCAAATAGAAGTTCAAGTCCCCAACCTCAAGGAGAAACCCATGGTCAAACACTTAACTTCTTTCTGTTATTCTTTCTTTCTTCTCTTCAGATGACTTCATTGAGAAGCTTACACGGTGTGAATTTTTTGATGATGAAGTCAAGGACTCAATATTTTTCTTAACAATCCATGATGCTGTTTTGCATATTTTGATGAAGAAAGATTACAGTACTTCAAAGTTTAACCCCAGTCAGGTATCAACTTTTTGGCAACTTTCACATTTGTATAAATAACCACCTGTACTTCTTAAATTTCTCTTTATTTTTCAACATTAAAAAGCATATTCCTAATTCTTAATTCCGTCCTGGTTTTCTCAGGAAGTAGAAGCAAAATTTGATGATTTCACCATCAATACAGATGGAGGATTACGTAATCGGGAATGTCAGGTAAGAATCTTCAGCAGGTTTATGTATACATAGACAGTATGACGACGAACTTTCAAAAATGCTGAGGCCTCTTCCAGCACGCTACAGAAAGTCCAGGACCTGTTTGAGCCTCTGTGCCTCATTCCGAGAAAACGGAAGCAATCCCAATCTAGTAGGGACATTGGGGGAAAATAAACTCAGATCAATACAAAAACAGACGGAAAACAGTGATACTAGACCTCTTAGTGTAATACTGAGCATATAGACAGAGGATGTTTTATGTTTTCAAAGTATTTACAACCAAGATCTTATTCTGGTCTTGTCATAATCCATGAGGCAGAGAAGGAAATAACTATTTCTACCTACAGATGAATTCGTGGTGGAGCTGAGAAGCTAAGTACACCTCCTGACCCCTAGAGGCATGGGAAGCCCCTAGCCAGTATCCTAGCTCAGTGCTGAATGTTAGTTCCTTCACCTCCTTACTAGAAAGAGTTGCCGAATCATTTAACTGTATAGTGCCATTTCATTCTAGAACATTCATTTCTAGAATATTCGGTCCTTTAAAGGTCTGTCCCTAGTTTAGGAAAAGCAGAACTACAAATCAAAATGAGTATCCCCTATAAAGCAAGTATATGGTAGGTACATTACATTCATGATCTCAATCTTTACAATGACATGCAAAGAAGATATCTTCATTTCACAAATGAGGAAATTAGAAGGGCTCAGAGAGTTAAACTAATTTGTTTAGGGTCATGCACCAAATTGACAGGAACAGGATTTGAAGCAAGATCTGTCTGATGTCAAGATCTATGCTCTACAGACTATATTATACTGGCTCTATCCTTTGGTGAAAAACTATCAGAAGTGAGGGTCCCAAGGAAGAATCCAATGCTTTTCTTCTTCTCTCATATGAAGAAAGGTCTAAGAAGAGTATCACAAAGGAATTTAAATTAGAAGCAATGTAATAGCATAAGATAACCCTGCATGATTATTTAGAGTTCAAATAGAAAAACCTTAGATAAAAAAGGCATTCCAGAAATTTAGACATACCTGAGGGGTGAGGGGAACCATGATTCTGCTTCCCAGGCCTGTTTTCCAGGGAAATGCACACCTAGCACCTTGTCTGAGGACTCTATAAAGACAGCCTTACCAGAAACCCTCTGCCCAGCAGCTGGACTCAGAATTGTCACCAAGTTTTAAGGGATAAAGTAAAGGAACAGAATATCAATCCAATGTCTGATCAAAGCTTTAGAACCAACTGTCAGACAGAATGTAGTCAATACCATCCTGTATCTGTTTCCCTATATTAAAACAAAAACAAGCATTTAACACAAGCCCCTTGCATTACTTAGAGGAAGATAAATCGACGGTTGTGGTTAGGCCACCAGTGGTGATTCATGTAAAAGCTGAGTGTCCCTGGCCAGCACACATAAGCCCTTGGAGTTTGTGTGGCCCCTGAAACAAATGTGAAGAAATAATTATTACAACACATTATATTATTTTGGTTAAATTAGGCCTTTGAAATATACACTTCTACAACAACATAGTATCACATGGGTCTACATTAACCAAATATCCCTGGAAGATGTTTGATCATTAAAATTGAAGACAAATTTGTTGGTGAATCTGGTAAATTCTAGCCCCCAATTTTAATCAGATTTATCATGTTTACTCCTTTTAAATACAAGATATGATTATTAAAAGGGAGAGAACTTAACAAGTCTTTTAAAACATGAACTTTCTCTCTTCTTCCAGGTATCAATTGAAACAAAATTCTAAACAAAATATAATTCAGAGAGATCCTCATCTGTCACATAAAGAAGAACTTTATACCCAGAAAGTTATTGATAAGTTCATACATTGTATGAAGAGTATTTCTGACAGAAATTATGTTTCAAACTTTGGAACGAGATTGTTCTAGCATGGTATATTTTTCACATATCTAGTAACCAATTATGTAAATACTTTTAATTTTCTACCTTGTAGATTTATCAAAAGAAAATTATTTTGTTTATAAGTATTTTTATAGCACTGACAGATTTCCATCCAAGTCACTACTTCTGTGCCTATTTTGCAGTGCACTTGCACCATTGCTTTGAATCTTGTAATTTATATAGTTCACACTAATATATATTCATTTTAAAAAATCAATTGTATAATAGGTGTGTCTTGCTTTATTAAGTTTCTTATTAGCTTTCTGATACATGCTTGCTGAGTCCTCTTTACAGTGATCTGACTAGAAACCTGCTACATGAGAATCCTTCTAACCTTTCTGCAATGAGACTTGTATTTTATAAATCTGTTATTTATGTAACAGAAATTAAACATCATCACCAACAGTAAAGGATTCAGTGGCCTCTGTTCAACATAAAGCCACTCTGTTAATGGGAAAAGTTGTCCCAATTGTTTTAGATCTCACTTCTAATGTTTATTGTCAAAGTACTCTTTCATCCTTTATTAATAGTCTTACTGAGAGGGCTTGTCTACTTGACTTAAACCAATTACAGGAAGATAAAAGAAAGGATTATTTACATATCTTCTCTTAATTAAAAACTAGAATCTCAGCACTGTTTTCAGCAACATATCTTAAGCTTTTTGAGTCATGGGCATCTTATAGAGTCTCATGTACCCTATGAACTTTGGGGAAAAAATACACATACACATTTGTGTATGATGCTCTATGAATCTCAGATTAAGAGCTCTTCCTTTAGAGAGGGAGGGAGTAGAAATTGAAAACATGAGCCTATTTAATTGATCATTTGCCTTGGGAGTGGGACAAATGCCTTACATAGAATTGACATAATGTCTGCATCTTCCCAGGTAAAGGTGCCCTCTATGCTCTACTTGCCAACCAAAATATCATAGAGAAGGAACAAGCATTCCAATTACCGCACCCCCATCACAACCCATTCAACCATAACATCCTGAGGTTCACTTACTTCATCCTTAAATGTTTTATTTTTTCCAAGGCCTCTAAGGTGAATATGCTTTGAGTAAGGGGTATGCATGGAGCCAGGACTTGACTTGCCTGCCTCAGAGCAAATACTGGAAATTGACTAGGATAAAAACTCTGATCTTTGGTTTAGGAAGAGGCCAAGAGATTGGTGCTGGGAGATAAAAATAAAACTTACACACACACAAAAGAAAAAAACAAAACTTACACAAATCAGAGCAAGACTGAAGGGGAGAGGACATCCAATGATCAACTGGGAGACAGAACCACTTGTCAAGAAGCAGCTGTATTACTGAAATCAAGAAAGGTTGGACCTCATACATGCCAAGCAGGTTTATCTTCAAAATCATTTTCTAATACTAACTTGTGCATGTGATACATATTCTTGTTTAAACACAGTAATTTCTCACTGAGAAACGTAATGTCTTAAATGTAAGCTTGACCACCCACTGCATAAACAAGAACAGAGAAGAGGAATATTTCATATTTACCTGCCATCTTCACCTGGACATCTATATGCCAAAACTGATCTACTGATCTTCTCCCCCTCATCACCTCTACTAGCATCTTTCCACCCCAGTTAATGCCAACTCCACAGTCTTCCAGCTGGTCAAGCTGAAAAATCTGTCAGGAAACTCAACTGACTCTACCCTACATCTAGAATCAACTCATTTAATTATCAAAAAAGTCCCCATAAGGTAGGTTCTATGTTTATCCTCATTTTTCAGAAAAGCAAAATAAATCAAGGCTTAAAGATTAAATAATTAGTCTAAATTGCATATACTTGCTAGTTCTATAGGTAGTAGAACCAGAATTCAGTCCAGACAGTTTTGACTCCAGAGCTCAGGCTCTTAATCTTTAGGAAATATCTCTCCAGAGAAAACAAAAACTTTTCTAAAATCTGATCTAGCACAAGGCAGGACTAAACTCAGGAACAAAATAGATGCATTCTACAGATATGTTCCAAAGTCACTTATTTAGCATTGCACAATTAAATATACCCAGAAAAGCAATTAGAAAACATTAATTCCAGAATCAATTATATCATTATGGTTGTATATATGTAATATTACATTTTTGTAATACATTTTTTAATGTTTTTTTTCAACCTGGACACTGTATTTTGAAAAAGAACATAAAATTTTTTGAGGAAAACTGAGGGGCTACTAAATGTAGGGGTTAGAATATAAGCTCCTAATTGGCAGGGATCATATCTATTTTGTTCATCATTATATACCCATGTCCATCATATAGGTGTTTAATTTACATGTAGAAATTGAACCTGATCATTACATTCCTTTGCTCAGAACTTCACAATGGCTTGCTATGTCAGAGCAATAACGTCCAAGTCTTTACAATGGCCTAGGAAGCCTGAGATGTTTCCATTCCGCTGTCATTACCTCTGACCTCTTCTTACTACTCATTCATTTCAGTCCAATCTCCTTGCTATTCCTCAGATAATGCCAGGCTTCTTTAAAGCCTTCATAGATTCTGTCCTCTGCTTGGAAAGTTCTTCCACACATAATATATGTGGTTAGCTCTTACCTACTTCAAATCTTTGCTCAAATGTCAACTTTTCAATGACTTTTATCCAGACTGTTCAATTTAAAATCGCAAACCTATCAACACCACATTATTCTTACTTTCACTTTATTATTTTCCTGACAAGTGTGATTTTACCACTTCTAGCATGTTACATAATTTAATGAAATTTATTGGTCATCTGTCTCTAAAGACTTGTGCATCCCAAGTGACTAGAATGGTGTCTGATCAAATATCACACATATCATGTATCACTTATATGCAAAACCTAAAAATAGAAAAAATGAATTTATAAATCAGAAAGAGAACAAATTTAGTTACCAGTGAGGAAGGGCAGTGAAAGCTGCTCAGTCGTGTCTGAGTCTTTGCTACCCCATAGACTATACAGTCCATGGAATTCTCCAGGCCAGAATACCGAGAGTGGGTAGCCATTTCCCTCCTCCAGGGGATCTCCCCAACCCAGTGATTGAACCTGGGTCTCCCGCATTGCAGGCGGATACTTTACCAGCTGAGCCACCAGGGAATCCCGGGAAGGGTAGGGGTACGTACAGACTGGGAGCTTAGATCAACAGGTACACACCGCTATACTTAAAACAGATAACTAACGAGGACCTACTGTATAGCACAGGAGCTCTGCTCAACATTCTGTAATAACATAAATGGGAAAAGAATTTGAAAATGGATATATGTATATATGTAACTGAATCACTTAACTGAATCACTTTGCTGTATACTCAAAACTAACGTAACACTATTAATCAACAATACTCCAATATAAAATTTTTAAAATTTGAAATGGCATCTAGTATATAATGAATGAATATATTTCACATGGTGGATGTTCAGTACATATCTGAGTATAGGCCACAAAATGCTACGTTTACCATGGATTATTAAGGTGCTTAACCAGAGCATGAAGCCTATTATTTAGTTGTCAGCTCTGCAACTAACATGATTTGTACACCAAAGTTTTAACAGGGGTTATCTCTGGAAGGGAAAATTGTGGGAGTGGTCAAGGGGATCTTTATTTGTAATATGACATATTTCTCCCCAAAGCTTACTGCTTTTATAAATGAAATGAATAGAAATTTTAAAACAAACCAAAAAATTAAAAGATTTTGAAAGCAACACATAGGAAGAAAAGCAAAAGGGAGTAAGATTTTCCAATCTGAAGACAGAGAACAATTTCAAAGGTAGATTAATAGGAAAAAGTGAAAGTGTTAAGTCACTCAGTCTGTCCAACTCTTTGTGACTTCACAGACTGTAGCCCACCAGGTTGCTCTGTCCATGGGATTTTCCAGGCAAGAATACTGGAGTGGGTTGCCATTTCCTTCTCCAAGGAATCTTCCCAACCCAGGGATTGAACCTGGGTCTCCCGCATTGTAGGCAGACTCTTTACTGACTGAGCCACCAAGGAAGACTAGATTAATAAGAAACGGACTTAAATACAGTATTAAAGTTAGTGCTTACAACTAACTTAGAATAGAACTAAGATATTCTGAAGACATAGGCTAGCTTTTTAGAAAGACTTGGTCCTGCCCAAGTGATAAAAACTCATGACCCATTTAACTCCTGTGATCCTGTAATGCCTAAAAATTCAAATGGGAGATGAGGAAATTAAAGTTTAATATTAAAATGTTGCTTTAACAATTCTGCCGTAACGCTTTTCCCCTCAAAAATAGAAAACTGAAGGGGCATGAATCAAAACAAAAAATGTTTGAAAATTCAAATGTTTTTATTAGTATCATTACCAAGTATTTTAACTGGCTTACCTCTCTTTCCCCTTTAAGTCTAGTATATCCAATATTGCTTTATTAGATTGTGCATATATTGTAGTAAGTAAAGTCTGCTTGGTCTAGGCCACAACTGAACAGATTACAATTACAAACCAGTAAAGAAAAATAAATCCACTTCAGTTAGAATATAGTATGATTGTGTCAAGCCTCAATTAACATCAATATACCAAATTTGATGGTTAATCTAATAATCAGAAAAGTGTATTTTTGTTTCAGGTACTTGAGCTTTTTCCACATACTTTTTTTTTCCATTAATACTTTTTCAAAAGTAAGTTTACATGGTTTTTCCAAAAAGATGTATGAAAGATACTCTTCCAGTACATCAGAACAAAGCCAAGAGCAGGTCTGTATACTTCATATCATAAAATGGCCTATTTCAAGTTTAAAAATATGGTCAAATTATCTTTTCCATTTGTATTTTAGTGTTAGTCTCTTATACAATAACTTGAGCAAGTGGTTTTTTACAGGGCAAAATGAATATTAAGTAGTTTCTTACAATCTTTGCAGCTGATAATTTTCCCCAATACTATACATTATACTCTGAACAAGCATGTCCCTTTAGAAATATTAATGTTCACCTTGCTGGTTTTAATCTCCAAATATGTGAAATTTTGCTGTAGAAGTTGTATCGATGTGAAAAATTCTGCATTCTCCCAAATGTGTCATCATTAGGTAAAAATTCATCTAGGCAAAATAGTATTTATGCTTTCATTTTATTGTTTTTAAGAATTAAACTGCCACCTCAGTAGTCTTTTAAGAGCAATATAATGAAACATACATACATTTAATTTAGACTTATGTCCATCATAGCTTCAAAGGCTTCCCTGAAATAAGGCTGGGATTCACATCTTTTTCCTTAAGGAAAGAAACACTAACAATAATTTTGTTATCCTTCTACCCACCCACCCTCATTCAAACAATAACTGGATGAATTCAAGTCTAACACCATTTTTAAAAAAAAACTGTCTGCTACAACACATTCATCTGAACTGCCTCCCTGCGTAACACATATTTCTTAAACCTAACCAAAAAATTTTAAAGCCTACGA